ATTCTGGTTGTGATATATACAAATCTGCTCAGTTTATATTCTGGTTGTGATATATACAAATCTACTCAGTTGATATTCTGGTTGTGATATATACAAATCTACTCAGTTTTTATTCTGGTTGTGATATATACAAATCTACTCAGTTTATATTCTGGTTGTGATATATACAAATCTACTCAGTTTTTATTCTGGTTGTGATATATACAAATCTACTCAGTTTATATTCTGGTTGTGATATATACAAATCTACTGGTTGTGATATATACAAAGTTTTTATTCTGGTTGTGATATATACAAATCTACCCAGTTTTCAATTTTGGTTGTGATGTATACAAATCTACCCATTTTTTATTCTGGTTGTGATATATACAAATCTACTCAGTTGATATTCTGGTTGTGATATATACAAATCTACTCAGTTTATATTCTGGTTGTGATATATACAAATCTACTCAGTTTTTATTCTGGTTGTGATATATACAAATCAACTCAGTTTATATTCTGGTTGTGATATATACAAATCTACTTAGTTTTTATTCTGGTTGTGATATATACAAATCTACCCATTTTGTTTTATTCTTGTTGTGATATATACAAATCTACTCAGTTTATATTCTGGTTGTGATATATACAAATCTACCCAGTTTTTATTTTGGTTGTGATATATACAAATCTACTCAGTTTTTATTCTGGTTGTGATATATACAAATCTACTCAGTTTTTAATTCTGGTTGTGATATATACAAATCTACTCATATTTTTTTTTATTCTGGTTGTGATATATACAAATCTACTGATTTTTTATGCTGGTTGTGATATATACAAATCTACTCATTTTTTATGCTGGTTGTGATATATACAAATCTACTCAGTTTTTATGCTGGTTGTGATATATACAAATCTACTCAGTTTTTTTATTCTGGTTGTGATATATACAAATCTACTCAGTTTTTATTCTGGTTGTGATATATACAAATCTACCCAGTTTTTTTTTATTTTGGTTGTGATATATACAAATCTATCCTTTGTTTTTTTATGCTGGTTGTGATATATACAAATCTACTCAATTTTTATTCTGGTTGTGATATATACTCAGTTTTATATTCTGTTGTGATATATTTTATTCTGGTTGTGATATATACAAATCTACCCAGTTTTTTTATTCTGGTTGTGATATATACAAATTTACCCATTTTGTTTTATTCTTGTTGTGATATATACAAATCTACTCAGTTTGTATTCTGGTTGTGATATATACAAATATACCCTGTTTTTTTTATTCTGGTTGTGATATATACAAATCTACTCAGTTTTTATTCTGGTTGTGATATATACAAATATACCCTGTTTTTTTATTCTGGTTGTGATATATACAAATCTACCCAGTTTGTTTTTATTCGGGCTGTGATATATACAAATCTATCCAGTTTTTTTTTATTCTGGTTGTGATATATGCAAATCTACCCAGTTTTTATTCTGGTTGTGATATATACAAATATACCCTGTTTTTTTATTCTGGTTTTGATATATACAAATCTACCCAGTTTGTTTTTATTCGGGCTGTGATATATACAAATCTCCAGTTTATATACAAATCTAACATTAAAATCTCCAATTAATCTTTCTAAAACACCCAGAGATTACCTCGGTGGTTCTGCTATTAATCTTCAAGTTATACTTTAAAAAGTATTATATTAAAATGATGGTCACTAAGTTTTTCCAAGTGTATATTCTACCAAGTGAGACATTTAGGAAAACCCACATCGCTGTGATAAAAAGCGCGTTTTGATGTTGTACACAAAAGACAATAAAACCGTTAGAAAATAGATCAGTTTAGATTTTGTTGTTGATAATTTTCTAAACTATAAACAAATGCATAGCGAAAAAAATGCATATATATATATGAACCTGTTATTACAATGAATTGAAAGAAAATAACGAAATATATGTTTTATTTCCATCGAAGAGACCGCTGTCGCTATCCAGCCGGGAATGAGAAGGTGGGGCATTGACCTATGAAAATAGATAGTCGAAGGTACGTCTGATGGAAAGTTTTGAATGTATACCATGCTCATTAACATATCTGGTGATATCAGAGTGTCGTCGATGATGCAGCAGGCGCTTAACATTCCAGAACACCTGGTTTTATTCTCATTGTACTTTATTATTTGATCATATTTGACCTACATTCAATCGATTTTGAATTTGAATTTCGGTTTTGATATATCAGTATTTTTTGGTCGCTTTCATTTTAAATTTGGTATGCATGTCTTTAATTTTAATTTTTAATCGCCAATAAAATAAAATAAATAATATAACTAGGAAATGCAAATAAACACATATATCGGTATCGTTCGAGCGTCAATTTATAAGCCTGATCCAGACCAATTAATCCAGTATACTATTTACAGAGAACCTATATCGTAATTATGTATAATGTCGTTTAATTGGTTTGGAATCAGACATCTCTTGGGAGTGATTTGTCGTCTCAATACAACATGGTTTGTCTCCAGCTGATCTAAGTAATGACTTTTTTTTATGAAATTAACATTTGATTCCAATGTCTTCATCCCATAATAGGTTCTAGGGTTCTAGGTTTTGTACATTTACATATACTCAGGCTATACAATACACTTGTTTAACCTATATTGAATACAGAAAAACAACATTAGTATTAGAAGGAAAATCCCATACATTTAAGGTTTCTAAATGGCTATGATATCAAAAAGTGTTTTACATTTTTAGAAGTTTGATTTTTATGTTCTGCGTCCTTCCCAAGTACATCGATAAGATAGAGTATATGTTTAAACTAGCAGCCCTGAAATACTCTGCATACTTTATAAATACCACATTATTACTTATATTATTAATCATTATTATTGTGTGTCCAAATAAGACGTTATCTAATAGAAACCGCCTCAAACCCCTGTGTGTCCCTATAAGGTGTTATCTAATATAAACCTCCACAGATACCTGTGTGTCCCTATAAGGTGTTATCTAATATAAACCTCCACAGATACCTGTGTGTCCCTATAAGGTGTTATCTAATATAAACCTCCACAGATACCTGTGTGTCCCTATAAGGTGTTATCTAATATAAACCTCCACAGATACCTGTGTGTCCCTATAAGGTGTTATCTAATATAAACCTCCACAGATACCTGTGTGTCCCTATAAGGTGTTAGCTAACAGAAACCTCCACAGATACCTGTGTGTCCCTATAAGGTGTTATCTAACAGAAACCTCCACAGATACCTGTGTGTCCCTATAAGGTGTTATCTAATATAAACCTCCACAGATACCTGTGTGTCCCTATAAGGTGTTAGCTAACAGAAACCTCCACAGATACATGTGTGTCCATATAAGGTGTTATCTAATACAAACCTCCACAGATACCTGTGTGTCCCTATAAGGTGTTATCTAACAGAAACCTCCACAGATACCTGTGTGTCCATATAAGGTGTTATCTAATACAAACCTCCACAGATACCTGTGTGTCCATATAAGGTGTTATCTAATAGAAATATCCATAGATACCTGTGTGTCCCAATGAGATGTTATTTAATAGAAATTTCCTCAAGCCCCTGTGTGTCCCTATAAGGTGTTATCTAACAGAAACCACCTCAAAACCTTGTGTGTCCCTATAAGGTGTTATCTAATAGAAACCTCCACAGGTGCATTTTGCTTGGCTCCTGGACACATGGGAATACCAGGCAATGAGAAAGCAGATATTGCCGCAAAGGAGGCTTTCTCGCTACCGCTTGTTGTTTTTAAATTCATTTTACCGATTTGAAACTATTTATTAAACAATATTTAAAACCTCAGTGACATGATGAATGGAATACATATACCAATAACAAATTGCACTCTGTTAAACCTGTTATCGGTGAATGGTTCCCAGGCTATAGAGACAGCCACCGAGATGAAGTTGTCCTTGGCCGTCTTCGGATGGGTCATACATACCTTACACATTCATATATGTTGAAAGGCGAAGATAACCCTTGGCGCATAGGGTGTGATGAGTCATTCACCGTTAAACATTTTTTATTGGACTGCATTGACCTTCTGTCTACTCGAGAATGTTTTTATCGTAACATTACATGTGTAAAATCCCTTTCTGAAACTGTTGAGATTTGTAAAATTCTACATTACCTAAAAGATGTTGGTCTATATAATAGACTATGACGTACCATTTTAATCTTTTGTGTTAACATACCATTAAGATTTTTAACATCTATCTTTTACCTTTTGGATTGCGTAGTGTTATTTCTTTTTGGATCACTGTGTTTTACCGTTTGATGGCCCTAATAAGCATTTATGTGTTGAAGGGCCGTTAAGAATGTAATAATAATAGATCCCTGTGTGTCCTTATTAGGTGTGATCTGATTGATCTATGTGCAATATACATGTGAAAGTGACGACTTCTTCCCCAATAATCGTTTGAATGCCGACCCTGGAGGATTTGCTTACTTTATATAGGGTTTGAGATCTGACGGTTATCGATGCCAGAGAAAGTCGACGGAACGTCCGAATAATTCAAACGTTATAGCACCATGCAAATTCAGAGAGGAGGGCAGGCGGAAAAAAACGAGGAACCAGTGATACCATTGACACTCAGCAAAACCAATCAGACTATTGAATATTAGCTATAGAGTATGATAAAGAAAGCTTGTAATTTTCACGTCTCTTAGACAGTGGTAGTCAAGTGGTTTCATGATATAAGAATTCTGTTGTGTAATAACAGGGATAAGGTAAGGAAAATGAAATAATTAAATAACGTGTCGTTTTGACAATATAAAACCGGAACAAACATATACACAGCCTTGCTTATTCTGGTCTTTACAAGACTTGCATAATCATTTTTATTTTACATGGAGTATTCTTCGAGTTAACGAGAAATAGAAATAAACTATAAAAGAAATGAGACTCGGAAGCAGTTTCCATGATTTGTTTGAGACCCCCACTATAACATGTTGATTGAGTAGCTTCCATCACGTTTATTATGAACAAATAAAACAGCTTTTTTTACACAGATTCATTCGTGCAGGGTCCGAACATGCCCCGGCCAGAAACGTTATATTAAAACATCGATAATCAACGTCTATGCATGCTGAGTTAGCGGTGTTCACTACAAAAACGAACAAAAAATCTCTCAAAATAATTTTATGATTTTTTTCAACGTTATATGTTAATATCCTATAATAGTTCCTACATCACATTGATACAAACGATATTTAGTTACTGTATACGGGAAAATTTTCGCCGTAGATAAGCTTTAGCCCGCTTCAAAAATAACGCAGAAATAAAGAAAACATGGGCTTATACGCAGGAACAATAGCCCTGCAATTATCATGTTACACATAGAGAAAGTACTTACTCGTGTGGATTGTATTATGCCAAACTTGTCAGTTTTTACATTATTTCGTATAGCAAATTGGTTAATTAAAAGCAGATCATACAATAAAAATATTCTTACCATGACAAATTCCACAGCTCTTTCGACACAACAGATTGGCTAATTCTTCATTCGCACAAATAGTTTGCAACATTGTTTGGTTATTGCATTCAGCTGGGTTTGTATCGAAACACGCGGATTCAGGTAATGGAGTCATCCCTGTAAAAGGGTTAAACGTTGAAGACGAAATATTAGAAATGTATGACAACAACAAAAAATAATCTTGATTAATCCTTGGCTAACTCTAAATACACACGTTTGTGGGCGTGAAAATTTGATATGATAGAGGTCCCAAAATTGCTATACAGACTAAAACTTTACCAAGAGTAAAATATTTGAAACGTTATTTGCCGAGATCAGTTGTCTCCTTGACCCCTAGCTTAATCAGTTGTTTTAACTTACCACAAATTTGACAAGATTTCTTGCAATAGAATTTCATAATTTCATCGTTGCAGACGATAGGAAGTATCTCTTTAGCGCAGGGCTGTATTAGAGAATCCTGGCAACTGGATGACGTAGTTGTGATCGAGGTTACTGTTTTGGCAGTTGGAACAGGAGAAGTAGCCGAGGTAACGGAAGCAACGTCTGCAAAAATACAACTTTGGATAGTGATATCTACCATTTTCTTTGTTTAGCGCCTGGTGTTACGTTAAATAATTACATAACACCGACCTAAATTAAAAGGATCCCTGGCACTCCCTCAAACTTGGAGGTGTGTTGGAGTTCACTGATCCAAAGCCTTTAACGTTTATCACAATAAATACTTAACGAATCGCTTGCATACAGGATCTTACACGAGTTTCCATTTGATGTTAAAAATTCATCCCGAAAACGGATATTTCTTCGTCACACTTAAAGTCATATTAAGTCTACATCTCTGTCTCCTGTAACCATTTCTATGTCACAATGTCATTGGTGAATGTCTAAAGTCTAAAGTGACGTCACAATAGGCTATATCATAGATATATATGATTTCTCGCACCTCAGACAGGGATATCCCACGTAATACCCCATCCAAGTATTTTCTATCTCGCTCGATCTGTCTCATACCCTTACGTGAGTTTTTGCGGATTTTTACGCATCGGTGTATTCATACGCGTGTAGGCGAAGGTAGCACCTACACCCGTGCATTTCAACAAAAAAATTAGGTTATGTTGATGTCAAGATTCCTGATGCTGTAGATAAAATAAGATCTTCATTGTGAATTGTGCTGTATTTTTGTAAGTGCGGCCTATATTGTAAACGCGACACTAGTCAAACATTGTTTAAAAGTAAAGAATCTGTTAGTAGTTTGAGGCTCCCACGGGATACGCCACAACTCTGATGGAATATTGAATAGTAGTAGGTGCGAGAAAACAACAACTATTTCCTGTAACCGAGCGAGATCGGGGTATCTTAGCCCTCGACTGATATACCCCGATTTCACTCAATTACAGGTAACAAATTTTATCAAATGTCAGCGGCGTTGTTTTTGGCATATTCTACATCCGGTTAGAAAACTACTTAATTTTCAAAGAAATCATACCTTTTTCTGCGGTTTACTAGAACTATAACGACTTAAAGAACATCCATTCAGATTTAAAACTATTAGATAATAGATAGAATTGATAAACGAAAGCACAATATAAAAATATAATTGAAATAGCACCGTTATAATTGAGCTAGGCTTCCCTAACGACTATTCATCACCCGTTTCATTGTAAATAAGGGTCAATACAAGGAATGTCACGTTCTCAAAATCAGACCTAAGGCAATACCGTTCGTTATATTATAACTCACTTTTACACAAATCTCTATTACAGTTGTCACCCGTGCAGCATTCCGAACAATAATGTGTCTCTACTGGATTTGTCATACCACTCTGATCGCACACCTAGTGTAATAAGAACCACGATAAATATGTATTTAAACAACAATTACGTTTATAATTCAATTTCAAATAATTCTACTGACATAAACAAATAATTGACAAAAGAATTGGACATCAGACAAACACTTTTTAAGTCTTCTCCCAAATATAACATCACATTGGTACAAGACAAAGTTTAAAAACACAAGAATATGATTGATATTGATTGAAAATGTCACTGATCTCATATTTTCTCTGTACAAATCATTTCCCCCGCACACACGATTGTAATATGCTTGATTCACCAAATATTAAGATATTTGGAAGTTTCAAGTTATTTATATTCAGAAGAAGCAGCTGAAATACAGTTATGATTATAGTTAAACGTAAACTAGATTAATATATTAGAGTGTTCTTAAATACATATCAAGTCAATTAATACAAGTAAGAAACCAATATGTCATTATTTATCTAATATACATGCTAAGCTGACATTCATTTACTAGTTTACGATAATAACTTAATATAAGATACATTTTGACGTTTCATTCAATATTAGAAATAACGCAATTTAATTAAATCATCGGGCTTGTGCATATTTCAATCTACTTTTTATTTCGACCCATTTCGATTTCCATACTTGGTTTCCTGTATTTCACTATTTTTGGTCCGAATCGTCACAGACGTCTTCTTGAAGTATCTCATATGAGGTAGTAACATTGTATCTAATTTTAGATCAAGGTAGAATTTGCATCGAAAAGTGTTATTCACTTGTGCCTATTGTACAATATATACTTACATGTTTCCTCATACATCCTAGTCGATATCTTTTTTCACCAAACGTATGTAGGTAATAGGTTGTATAGCACATCTATAAAACACTAGAGAGACTTAATTTATGTATGTATATTTCAAGTATAATGTGAATGGAGTTATGTTGATGGTTCATGCAAATAATAAGAAAGTTTATTTTCCTCGAAATTCAGGAATTGAAGTATCTTTTATCTCCTTTGATTTTACGTTTTATCTCATTTTCCCGATTTTATGTAAATCTCTAATATGCTAGAAAATAGAACCCACAGTGAACAAGAAACTCAAAGCACTTTTCATCAGAATATTTTCTGTACTTAGATAAAGAGAAGGATGTCTTTGATAATGAAATTATAAATCAGTACCGTGGATAATTTCACTAAACGTAAAGCTTACTACTTGTATATTACAAGATGCCGCCTCCCCTAGACTACGTGACTGACGGCATAAACCAACCGATAAATAAGTGTTCTGATATGAATGTTTTGTGGGCGATACCGAGGCAATTGGACTTGTGACATCGATGATGATCTCCTGTCGATAGTCGGCCAGTATAATGCTAGTACATAAAGCCAAAACAGAAAAAGCCAAAAGACGTGTTTACTTCCGTATTTTACAAACGTTTATCGATTTTTATTGAACACTAATTCAGTATGATCTATTCTTGTGATACGTGTAGATAAAATAAGACAAGGAAAACAATCGGTAACAGCTAAGGTGATGATGTCGAATGAAAAAGACATTTTTACAAATTATGTAATGCAGGGGATGGAGAAGGGGAAGAGGGGGGGGGGGGGGGGGGGGGGGGGAAAACAAGGTGTAATGAATCAGGTAAACAAAAGAAAAATGTGAAACGTACACATGTGTCGTATGGTACAGAAAGACTTAAAAACGTTTATTCCGGAATTTACAAGTATCGGTATTGCAATTTGCCGAACTCGATTCGAATAGTTATGAAGTGCTGGTCCGATAAAAAATGCAAAAAGAAAATACCAACATGTCAATATAATCATAATCCAAACTCAAATTCAAATTAACTAGGACAAAATTTAAACAAAAGAAAGATTTACACGAAGACTCCTGTCAAAGTGCAAGGATATTGAGACCAGGTGATTCGGAAGAGTGGGCGTCTTCTGCTTCATCGATGACACCCGCCATGTTAACCTTGGTCAATCCTAACTAAAACACAGTAAGTAATGTCACGTTCTAAAGGGAGAATTACTGTCGTCTTCAAATACAAACCCTTTTAAAACGGTAGTAGCCAAAAGTTAGAAAAATCAGGACATGTTTTATAATTAAAAAGCAGTTATGACATTGTAATACTCACTCATTGTAACTTCGCAGTATGCGTCATATTTTAGTCCGTTTTTTAAATCAATAAATATATTTGAACGAAAAAATAAATTTCAAAACAACTTTCTTTTTATCTTTTTATATCATATAGAAAATGTTACATATCAATGTTATTAAGAGACAAAATTTGTTGTAAAGCGTTAGGAGAGGGTTTAACTTGTTACTACGCTGCTGAAAATATGGTAGCAGCATAAAGCTGTCGCCGTTGATGACGCGTCTCTTTGAAATGGCTATACCTGCTTACAAGACGTTCGGTTGAGGATTGGATTTGATCTCTGATAAGGTAATAATTTACCGGGTATTTTTGAATTTGTCAATTTTATAAGAATATTTGTGTTCTCTCTTTACATCGGTGTTAGTGTCCTAAAATATTGTGAAAAATAACACTTTTCTCCATGAGAAAGTGGTGGAGTATCAAATTCTGGAATCATTCAGACAAATATCGTGTAATACATGCATTCTTTTATGAGTGATAAAACTATGTTTAAAACAGATATGTCATTAGAGTGTTTAAATATCTTAACAATCTTGGTAAAATTCCATTCAAGGCACTATGAATTGTGATGTCATTTCGTTAATCAGCCACACACACAGATGATATGACACGCCCACGAATGATAAGCCACACCCATGAATGATAAGACACGCCAATGGATGATAAGCCACGTCCATGTTTGATACGAGACACCCACTTACCTCGTCCACATCACATCCAATCACTTTATGACATTCACTTGGGTGTTCCACGCTATCGCAGGACAGGCAGCGTTTTTTCGTGGAATTTACTAAGAACGTGAATGCCATTGTCTTTAAAGATTCATTAAAGAACAATCCAATTATCAAAAAGGACATTTTAAAAACATTTTCATTCATATTAAAGACAAATCATTCATATCATTCGATTTGGAATAAGCTGTAATAATATGAAAAAAATGAAGAAAGGGTTGTAAAAGGCCAAACCAGTTATATGATGCAGTTGAATTAATTATTTGGCCCTGCTGTATCTACTTCTAGACTTGTATTGAAATGTGTTATTTTCTTGTATGCAGTTTGTACAATCATAAAGAAACAATGTTTTTTTAAATAGTTAATACTATTGTGATTATATACAGTTATGATAATGGAAACATATGACATGTTATTGCATACAGTATAATGTGATGCCATGAACTACACTACTTCTTTTGTCATAATCATCGAGATTGAGGACGAATCTGTGAATGGTCTAGATGAACCAGACAAAAGACGTTCATTACGATCACCAAAGCAATGTTAACGCTAGGCAAAGTCTTCACCAAAGTTATTCTAAAAATGGGATCTTCCGCCAGAGCGATCACCCAAATGACCACCAATTGATCGGGTATGAAACACATTACATTAGTACAACACCCATGTATCTCCAGCTTTGACTACTGTCCCATTCCACCTACAACTGAACATGCTGAAGGTCCCAAAGCCTGCATTTTCCTTGTGTTCAATTTGCTATGTAATGCCCCTCCACTTAGAATAGCAAGGAAGACGACATTTTCAACAGGAATCGCCAATCCGCTCCTGTTGTGAACATTGCTGTGACTGTGGCTCAGAGCCCAAGGACTTCAGTACCATCAAACAGCCGTAGCACAGCCTCAGGGCTATAGATCACCACCTACAAACATTTTCTGACGACACCACCAGGTTCAGACAAATTAACGATAAGAATCCTCGAAGAGGATTGCAGCAATGCTTCACCTATTCAACAATGCCCTTCCTGATAATAGCTTATTGGCTAACAGAGATAACTGGCCAACACACTGGAAGAGGACCTTTGCGCGATACCCTCTCAGTCCTTCCTCCAATTCACTGACTCTTTCAAACGCAACCCCTAAAGAATTAAGTCCCACGCAAACAAAGTCACATGATGAAACAACCTGAAAACGTTCAGCTATACTATTTTCTGTTAGTTCATTTTCCATTTGCTTGGCCCTCCCTTCCCACAGATCGCTAAGATAGACTAGTAATAATATAGAATAAAATGTACTCAAAACACTGCTGTGGGTGCAATACTGACCGCTTATCGAACAATAACATTGCCTAGAGCCACGGCACCGACTGTTGCCGTGTATACCCTGCAGCTACCGCTTATTGTAGAGTCGTACTGCTCTGAACGTTTTATATAACAAAGCCATGTTGTATACAAATAAGTGTGATATGCCGCGAATGGTAACGGTAGAGTACGATCACTCTAGAACAGAGTGGGAAGACATACGTTTCTATAGCCTGTCCAATGTGTACACCACGGGGAATGCTGTAACGTACTGTCGCTCATGAGCCAACTTACCAAGGCATGTCAACTCGACACCTATATTCACTACAATACTGAAATCGAGGCCATTACTTTCCTCAGTTACATCAGTATGGTGCAGTTTCACATATTTTGTGTTTGTATAAGTGATTGAAAATTTTCCTGAACTCTGAATAAGGCACCACACATATATACAGATTACAAAATCCACAGGGAAGCGGGTATATTAAATACCTTGGTGAGTTTCACAAAGATTGGTGTTACAGTAGTCACTCTGACAACAGGATGAGCAGTCCGGATATTGTGATGGATTGTATCGTTTGAGGTCCGTGACGTCAGGCTTTGTAATCGCCGTATTTTCTGATTCACGTCGTCCAAGAATCGGATAATGGCTATGGCAACTCTGCAAGGGAATATTGTGGAAATTTATTTCAGTTTTAATGCATTTCAATGCATATAAATTATACAGAGTCTGTATTTTACGATGAAGATATAACACGCATGTTTTATGCATTGTACCTTAAATACATTGATATATAAATACTGAAATTATATCCGACTGCATGGGGATATGAGGTACATAAGCTGTCTAAAGTTACATTCCTTTAACAAAACGTTAGGTCAACATTTCATTGATATTGAACGAAATGAAATAACTAATGATGAGTTGAGCTTGATCAAATCAGTTGGACAAGAATATGATATTAATCACTTAAAAGGGTCATTACTTTTATGTATGTCGCAAGATGATTCTTGATCACGTAATGAATGGTGTAGAAATATACGGGAATCCTCAGTTCTGAAAAAGTCTCCAGGACTGATTTACATGCACCTCAAAATCGGCGTGGCAGGACAGATATAATTGTGAACACAGTTCCAGTTAATTTACTAAACATACTTAATATTTCGCAATTTAAACATACACTAAAACGCAACAAACAGTTAATAACTATTTTTTCCTAACACATAGATAAACAAATGGAACCAGACAGTAACACATTGTACAATGATACCCGGATTGTTTGTGATTAAATAAGTATTTATCTGATAATCCGTTTATGACCTTAGTCACTATACAATAACAGATCAAAGTACATCCACATCCGGGCATTGTACAAGCTTTACCTGCCGGTATATACGCTATTGAATATCAAAGACGTCTACTCTTCAGGGCTCGCCATTTTGTTAACAAATAGTTTGAAATCCACAGTTCACTACTTATTGCCTACTTAGTAGTATGCTACTATAGAATTCTTTATTGGCAAACTACTTTCAGTACAGTGGTGCAAAGGAGAATTTCATCTTTTTTGTTTATTTTTTTCGTTTACTTTGATCTTTATTAATTTTCCCCAGTTTTATATCTTACTATGACATTAGTGAATACCAATTTTTTCTAGCACACACACACACACACACACACACCTACACACACACACACCACACACACACACACACACACACACACACACACACAAACACACACACACACACACACACACACACACACACACACACACACACACACACACACACACACACACACACACACACACACACACACACACACACACACACACACACACACACACACACACACACACACACACACACACACACACACACACACACACACACACACACACACACACACACACACACACACACACACACACACACACACACACACACACACACACACACACACACACCACACACACACACACCTACACACACACACACACACACACACACACACACACACACACACACACACACAGACAGACAGACAGACACCCTCAAACACACCCACACACACATACACACACACACACACCTACACACACACACACACACCTACACACACACACACACACCTACACACACACACCCACACACACACACACACACACACACACACACACACACACACACACACCTACACACACACACACACACACACACACACACACACACACACACACACACACACACACACACACACACAACACACACACACACATAGCAATTGATTAATCAAATGAAATGAAATCAACATCGTTGTTCTCATCATAGTTACAAATACAAACAACATATCTATCGGTATAAATGTCAATAATTTACACTTCTTATTTGCTGTTTTGTAACAACCCCGCATAAACTCTTATGATTTTACTTAGGTGAGGTTTACCTGATTTGATAAGCATCCAGAATTATAATAGACGTGGGCGTCGCTCGTCACGTACCGCTCAACAAAACAAACCTGATAGCAAATAAAAGTAACGGCAAGTTTTTCGTGAACACAAAGTATGTGGTTTTAAATGTCTGAAACAAAGCAAATTTGATAAAAGATAAAATATATTTCAAAAGTGAACGAAACAGTACTGGCGGATTCATTGATAATTCTAACTTTTGTCAAATTTTTAACATTTTATAAATTCGATTTGGTTTATCCACGAAATCTAGAATAAAACAAGAAAGAATAAATAATGATTTATAACTAATGAAGTATCATAAATGATACATGATTATACGCGAAGCTTACTTCAAATCCAAATAAGCACTGAAATTTTGAAATGTATAAGTAAATTTTTTACCGAAATACATCTTATGATGATTTTGAAAATACAAAAATATATAGATATTTCAACTTATTACTAATTGAAACAAAACAAATAAAAAAAATTGAAGAATGGAAATATTTATGTCTAGACTATTGAAAACGCTTCAAGACCAGAGGTTCCAGAAGAGTAAGAGTCCTCCGCATCAAGAAGGACAATTATGTAGATCTCAAAGTAAATAATTTCATGTTCTATGTTAACATTTGCTTTGTTTTACACCTGTATATATTTGTAAATGAAGCAAATTTTAGGTAAATAAAATAATGAAAGGTTGGTTGTTATTACCAATGAAATGTTGTATACAATTTTACTACATTAAAAACAAAGAAAGCTAATGAAAAACATGCTATGTAATACAACAAAAAAATATCCAAATATGTCTTAAGGCATAACAAAGCAGCGGCGTTCCATTTACATAGCACGAAATCGCATGTTTGTGGGTAGGACGTAAGAATTGTGCCCGCTTTACCCATTAGATGATCTTCAGAGACGACTAAGATATAGTTGCGACTTTCCTGTTATTCCTAAATAGGTGTTCTCCTTAATGACACCCTTTTCATTGTGTCTCTTTTAGCATTTAGTTGAATTTTCCACTTTGTGAAGACGCCTTCAGGATTGTTCCATTGCCGACACATTTCAGAATTTTGAAAGGCCGTAATTGAGTCCTGTTTGACACTCAGACCTGCGTTGGTGTATGAAACATCTAGGTTGCTTGCTGTCAGTATAATGCGACCGGGACGGGTGTGTTTAGTGTGGTAGCGCGGCATCAGTTCCACACTATTACAAGCATGTTTACGAGAACACACGCTCCGTGGCTGTTGCTATAATGTTAAACATCGTACAAAAACCACATTTAAAATATTTCTGTTCTGAAAACCAAAACTATTAGAAAATCAGTCTGACATATTTTGTTGGTTTGTTTTAAACCCTGTTAGTGTACAATATATATGTTTTGTTCTGCCTACCTGATTAGAGCCGCATTCTACTATATTGCTGCAATCCCGAGGATGTGACATGTGCCAACACTCATAACAAACTTTATTATCTACAAAAAGGAAAGCAGACGCAGTACATACTTGATTAAAACGTTTTAACATTTGATTTGACTTAAATACTTTTTATGTAATTAGCATAATCCTTTTTGTTTCCAAATTTGTAAAAGGAAACAAAAAATCAAAGATTTTCAGACAGCTGGTTACCTCTGAAATATAGAAAAAAACTGTAACAGATTCGACGACATCATATTCTTTTAATTCTTGACGTAATTATTTGTAGTTAATAGAAATGTGTTATAAAGACAACATTAAAACAGGTTCTACTTGTATCGGGGGTTTTTACATAAGTTCCCTATACTACATCTGCTGTCGCAAAATAATGCTAATTGAATTAGGGAATAATTTTACATCTTATCTAAACTTGAGCAAGATACCTGACATACTACATACTAAAGACCATAGACGCAGTCATGCATGACTCAGGGAAATCAGTCAACAGACTCTAGCAGATGATACTGGACAATAGAGAGCTGTTACATGTACAAAAGAGGATAGGACTGGACGAAACATGACACACACCATTAACAATATTAAAGTTTCAAAGTTTAAACATTTTTTGCACCCATGTTTTTTGTTCAATCAAAAAGCTAATTGCATCTTTGTGTTTCTTGTATCAAACAACACCTATATTTTCATTTTCATCAAAAAGTTTTGTTTCACAGTACATGTAATTTTGCCTAAATCGCAATTTAATCTTTATTGTGTGTTCTTTTTTCTTTCTTTTTTTTTTTGTTTTTGTAAAACCCCAGTAAACTTCTAAGAATATATGTTCCAAAATACAAAAGTCACTGATGGCCTGTAATATGTATTTTATGATCCTTTTTCATAAACCAGAACAAATAATGAAGTTGGGTCAAATCCTTTTCATTAATGTCGGAAAAAATAAAGTTTTACATATATAAAAAATTATGGAAATTTAACTGTGAAAACAAAAATGAAAGTTTCAACAAATCAAGTGATGGAAAACAGTTCGAGAAACTTAGAGTTGCTATTCACATAAAATATTCACAAATTTTTGGCCACAAAAACTTTAATTATCGAACTCTCGGACCGGTAAAATTGTTGGAGGAATAGATTTTAATACAAATATTTATCAGTATGTTTTCTTTTTCATAATGGTAAAGAAACATAAGGGCGTGGCTATTACATACAAGTGTTAAGACGCTGACGAAGTATTTTTTAAATATAAATTTATAATCCGAAATAATTAATGATTGTTGTCATTACTCAGGCATACAGTGATAATTACTCACAAATATTAATTACTTTTATCGACGCAAATTTCTGGTACTGATTTTCTGTTTTTTTCATTTGGACATTAGTATATTTGTTTTATATAATAGAATCTTTGAGCTTGTAACTGTGTGGTTGCATTGGTTTTGGATGTTCTAAATGCATAAAATGCTTTGGTAAATACAGTATGTATGTGTGACAGCTTCTCTACGTGATACAAGGGCTGTACTAAGGAGCCAACTAAAGTGTTCAATATATCGCCAATTTTGTGAAAATATCTTGATACTCGATGTACAATTTCAAGCAAATCATTGATTACAACTGAGGAAATCAATCCATTCAGTTTACTTTGCAAAGGAACATCATTGTTAATACTGATCTTTTATGTAGAATGCTTCCTCTATGTTTAAAACATGTACAAGCATCAGAAAGTGAGTATGGATAAGAGAGTGACGGACAGACTTAGGAATGTCTACGCAGATGTCGTTATACTCTAAATATGAGAATACTTCCGACGGGAAGAGGAAGCGTACTTCAAATCTTCTAAGCGAAGAAGAGGTAGATGTGGAGGGATCGTTTCTTTGTTATCTGGTTTATCTCCAATCTTATCAAAAGAAGTTAACTAAAAATCATTATTACACTGAGTGCCGTTTTTTTGAGTCAGGTTTTTGTTTCTAAGGTACCTCATGTAACTCTTTACACACAACTTATTTTCATTCTTTACAGCCAGCCCCTCTGTATTGAGCATATGTTTTTTGAGGCGAATCCAGACGTCGTGCTGATTTGAAGTTCTTCCGTTGATGTTTAAATCTTGTTTTGCAACTTGGAATAAAACATACATCATCTACTTTTAGCATCGGCAATATCAAAACATAACAAATATATTTCATGTCCAAATACAGGTAATGGTATTCTGTGTCTTAGGTATATAAATCAACAAGGTATAGAAACAACAAAACTTATGAATAGACTTAGATTACTAAGGTGGTGTACATAATGTACAATTTGAGTGCAGACTATCAATAGTAGGCCAAAGAATATTAAAGCTTCCGTTTGCTAAAATAACTCCTGTATCATTCAGTGATGAATTGATGTCTTCGCTGAACAACCAGCCTTCTTTTAATGACAATTTCAGCTACAACCGATTAATTTCTTTTATAGTAAGTTTGGCTTAATGGCACTTCGGGCTTGTTATGTTCACAAACAACCAGGTGCACAATTCAATAAATGTCTACTTGGTGACTTATGGGCAAAGTTCACCAATTCATGGCCTTGTTTACCTCAGCTTCAGCTTGAAAATTTTCACCCAAGGAGAGATACTATGTTATTGATTCATCAATGATGTACAGAATGCCGTTGTGATATACATTTCATATTTCAGAAAACAAGAGCAAATACAAGCCATATGAGCCTTTTCTGTTAACCTAATGTGAAAAAATGTGAGTTAAAATCCTACTTAATCAAAGACATATATAAAAATGTAGAAATAATGACTGAAAATGGAATAAAACTATATTAGGATAAATATGAATATTGGGTAAAACATCAGAATTGTAAGTAATTTCCTGATTCTCTCATTTAAAATCTGTCTATGGAACAATTTTACCGGTCCCAGAATTTGACGATTTTTTCAATATTTTAAGTAGACATATTTGGTCAAAAATTGTACAATATTTGAGGTGAACAGCAACTCTATGTTTTTTAAACACTTCTTAAACAACTTGGATTGGTTGATTTTGTTTTTGAAATATGATTTTTATCAATTTAATTTTTATTTGTGTAATATTTATCGTTACATTTGAGTTCAAGACATGCATCAGGCTTTAATAAGAATAATTTTATGATTTATTATTGGTTTTGAACAAGTGCTTGGGTAAAATGTGCAACATGGCTCACTTCCATGACAAGGATTATAAAATAGGTCATAGGATATATGTGACTTTTGGATTTTTAAGCACACATTCCTAGGAATTTACTGAATCTATCTTCTACATTCTTATTCCTAATATTATTATTATCTGTTATCTCTAATTTTGATTGATGTGTTTGTATACTTGTTTATGCACTGTAAGGAGAGGGCTTTCATAGGCTCTGCCTGTTGCCCAATTCCTACTGTCAATACCACCATGACAATAAAATATTCTGAAAGAAAGCTTCAGCTTGAAAATTTTCACCCAAGGAGAGACTTCAAATAAGACACAATAAAGATTAGATTGGTTATTGACTTATAGTCTGTTTTTGTCAACCATTCAGAGGCTCTGGCTGGCATGTCTGATGTCCAATCATGACCAGAAGAGCCGGAGGCAAAACTCAAAAGTTCTCTTTAATCGGACGTAGGTTTTCGAGAAATATATCGAACAAAGTGCGGCGGAAGGAAGGAAATAATGATTAAGTATTTATATAATTATGCTAAATTTTATGAGCATATCGACTATACAAGAACTCATCCGCGAACTTATAGTTAGATGGTCTGACCATACGAGAACATTGTACAAGGTTTACTTACCGAAATATATCATCATGCACTAGATCATTTGCGTGTTTGAAAGAGTCAGCATTGTAAAGCTTCTTAACTAATCGGAAGTTATTCGAGAAACGTATAAGCTACTTTTCCTAAATTATCAAGCGGACCATACGAGAACATTGTACAAGGTTTACTTACCGAAATATATCATCATGCACTAGATCATTTGCGTGTTTTAAAGCTTCTTAACTAATCGGAAGTTATTCGAGAAACGTATAAGCTACTTTTCCTAAATTATCAAGCGGTTACTGGAGTATATAGTTACTTGTTTATGTACTGAGAAAAAAACAGTCAATAATTTATGGTACAACATACTTTTAAACAAGGACACGGTTATGACTGGGGGTTCGCAGCTCGGCTATAACACTTTTAACTCGACTCCTTGGCCAATATGAGGATACTTTCAAAAATGAGCATTTCTAAGATTTCTGCATTTTAAATGTATGTACACTGATATGTAAATACTTATTAACGTTTAGCTTCTAATAATAACAATTAGATTTGTATTTATAAGATAATACTATTTCAATGTTTGCGACTTAGTGATCATACAACAACTGACCCGATCACATATTGAATACATGTGATGATCTGAGCACAAGAGAACTTTGTATAACGTTGACTTTCCGAAATATGTGCATTAAATTCCAAAGCTTACAGTGATATGTCCTCTTGATGTCGCCGCTATGTCATGAACTAGAACATTTGAAAGTCTGTAATGTAAAACTTTTTAATCGGAAGTTACTGACCTAAGGGGAAAAACACTGGCAGTGAAGTGAAGTGACGGAAATGAGAAGTTGATGAAAAAGAAAATTCAACTGAATTATAGTTTTTGTAATGTTTAAATCATCATTCTGGCATAGAAAAGTTTTTGTTTCGTTTTAATAATGTGCCTCTTGAGAGTTAGCGATGTCAGAAAACGTGACAAGATTAAGGCACCTACACAAAAATTGGACAGACAAAATATTACCGGATTTTAATAACTTACAACAACGTCAGCATCTCATATTCTCGTGATGCAAAGAGACTCCATGTGAAAATGTGATACAGAGCTGAAAACCGTCCTGCCCTTTACACGTAGTTCAAGACTCGCGATTACCAATCAGAGTCATACAGTTGCGTTATTCGCATGCTAAAATGCTCACATAGACTGAAGACTTAAAAGAATATTGGATGCCAACGTAAGTCTGGCATCAGGTATTGCCACCTAAGTGTAATTGTTTTATGAATGAAAATTATTTTTACATGTGTTTGATGTTTGGAATAAATAAACCGCTGGATGCTGATATACTCTACAGTCAAAAATATCACAGTTTACATTACATTTGATTTCACATAATTTCACCCACAACATTTATCTGAATTTAACAAGCAAGTTAAATGGAATTTAAATATAGAACGTACATAGCACATCAGCAAATATTTAAGGTAAAATGAGGATACGAGGAAAGCAAATCATCATTGAAAACATTGAAATTTGCTTGTCTGTAATCCAGCAACTTAGCTTTCTCTTCTGTCATACATGTTTATTGTTATTTGATTATCAGGAGTTTCTCAATTCTTAGAACCGCCTCTAAATATACAGCCTTTATACTATGTATACCAGTAACCTAAATCTAGTGTAAAACATAAAATATTAGTTGTGTAGAAATATCAGTTGCTTTCGCGACCTTAGGTAGAGTTTTCAGTTTCCTGACATTACTTACTTGGATTGGCCAATAAATACATAGCTGATGTATGTCGATAAAGTGAAAGATGTTTGATCTTCAGAAACACCTGGTCTTTTTCTCATTGTACATCTGCACAAAGATCCGTTTAAATATTTCATTGCTAGTGCTCATTTTCAGTCCTAGCGTCATCGAATATGAGTGTGGATCAAGATTCTATTGACATTTCAGTTTTTTTTTAACCATGGAAAACTGTCCATAAAAATATCTTTCGTTAGTTTAGATGACAACACGAGCAATTAGGAAACTTACCTGCATATACTCCAAAACACAGCAACAACGCCAGCAAAACTGTAAGCATGATAAATACATCGTGTTAGTTCTGTTATGAAACCAAAGTAAAAAGAACAAGTGGTATTGATAGAGATAATGAAAAGTTTATACTTCCATATTGAGTGATCAAAGTTCTCAAAGGTTAAACCATGATATCATCAAGTTCTTAACGATGTTTTAAAAATGCTATTATTTACATACCACTGAATATGATACTGTGGTTTGCTGACTCCATATTGACTCCCACTACTAAGATGATTTCTAACCTACTTATAAAGACGTCATTCAATTTTGACATTGACCTTAGATAACGGTCCGTCAACGAAGGAAATGTATTATCTTTGAGAATTCTGATTGTGTCAAAAGCAAACTGTCAACTTGAAGACCTCTGAATTCAATAACAAATCTGTCACATTTTCTGTTTTTCTGTTTTGTATTATTAACAGAGAAATCTGCTATGTTCCAATATTCATTTCAAAATAAAGAAATAAGTGTTGACTAAATTATCGGCCATATAAGTGAACAACTGTTGCATTGGAATATCACAAATGTAAGTAGAATAAGGTCTTTTAGTGAAAGGAGAGCCGCATGGTCAGTCGCTCTAATCGCGAAAAATAGCAATGTTGATTGATGTTTTGATATATTGTTATTAATGAAATTACAATGAAATAAATCAACATTGCTATGATCTTTATGCTTAAACTGAAAATCAAATCATAACCGGTCAGAACTGCGAATGTGTGAAGTGCTCTCTCTCTCTCTCTCTCTTACTGTTTGTCATACGTAAAAGAGAGAGAGAGGAGAGTTAATGAAATAGCACTATGTAATAGTCACAGAATGCGAAACAGCGTGTCTGAGACATAGACACGGACGGTTTATAGCACACAGGCAGACCACTCAATAGGCCGATGGAAGAACAAAGAATATGATTCATAGAATAAGATATATAGCAAGACTGATAACATAGCAACAGTAGCCTACGGTCAATGGAGTACAAATTAGATCGCTCTCATATATAAACTCTAAGGGCAAATTAGACAAACAAAACACAATATATATAAGTTAAAATGTCCATGTCCCAAATGAAATGCTTGAGTATAAAGATATGCACCGTATGGTTTGGATTCCATTTTCTCTTGGTGTTCACCTTGGCCTAGATCATATACACTGTGTACTTGTTTACCTAGATAGCGAAGCGTTCTAAATTGCTTTATTATGTTGGTCACATGAACAGGTTTACTTATAGGCGATTTACTTTGCCATATACAAGAAATATGACACATTGCCAGATTCCTAAATAGCGTCAACGCAGGGATAGACAACAATAACATTGGTAAGTGGTGAAATTATTATCTCCTACGAGCATGTGAGATTTTGCTATCAAAGTGTATCACGATTGAGCATATTTCATTTGAGGTGTACATGGGTTTGCGATTTTTGTCTAGAGCTAAAATTAGACCACCGCTAAAATATATAGTCATCGGGCCTTAACGGTAAACTTTCTATTAAGATATGCGTTGAAAACATTTTTGCTATTGTAGCAGTTAAAATAACAAAACGCTATTCAATTCAGTTTTCAACTTTCCCTAAAAATTCCGTTCAATAATACCAGATATTGGAGAAGAAGATTAAAATTTGTTTTTCAAGATGTCAGCCATGGCGACCATATTGGATTTCGGATCGACCAATAACATACCAATATCTCCTAAAGACCATCTTAGGATTATTTCTAGTGAATAATGTACTTTTGATGACTCCTCAGTATGTCTTGACTTTCAAAACAAACACTTTTGTCTACAAAAATGTAGAAATACTATTGAAACTTTTATATATCAATATTGTTACATGCAAAGAGTAAACATTAGATTCGGTTTTTAACTTCAATGATATACATGTGAATTTCTTTAACAATGTGTGTATTATCAAGAACAAGTTATCTTTGTTACATTAAACTGTAAATCGAAAATGATTATGATATGCACTTCTAAATAATGCACTTTTAAAATAAAGATTAATAATTAGATATGGTTTATAAATATAATGAATCATTAGGAAGTGTACAACGAAAGCAAATAAAAGTACTTACCTGTGTCAACAGCAACAGTATCAAAAATACTACAAAGAGAGGAAAATAAACAAAACATAATTTTATCATACAAGTAAATAAGAAATTACACAGGCATTGACCCAGATAAGGGAAATTATGTTAGGTACACGGTCGTATGTTCCAAAATTTATCTACAAAGATTAGAATAGTTCAGCAATCAGTGTTTAATTTTTTTTGAGATAACTATCGAACTTAACTCTTGCCACACTACATTTGAAGTTACACTTTAACATAAGTTATGAATCAACAATGATATTTCAAACTCGATTGATGAAAAAGAATCCCAGTTCTCTAGTGGATATGCTTTATGTAGGTGGGTAGAATTCGAAATGATCTTATCAAATGCTTCTAAATTGAATGTTCATAAATAAATGAAAATGGTTGTTTTAAAAAAGATAGTACTAGGACATGCTTTTGGTATGACGTTATTGTTATTTAACGCAAGATAAACATAGATATTACACCAGAAATCCCGTCTTCTTCGGATTCCTTACACCGACAGAACAGCGTTAAGTGTGGAGCAGTTCACAAATGTCTTGGACATCAACGCCCTTGTCATGGTGGTTGCTGACGCTGTAAACATTCTACTGTACTCGCCTTGAAACATTTGACCTATCCTTTTCCCTCTTATTTTCCAATACCTTCCGAACGTCCCACATTTAAGACATTAAGTTTTAATTAAATGTTTAGCGTTTATTCAAACAAGGAATGCTTCGGTTTCTGTCCTCGAAAAGAGACACATTTTAATCTGTAGGATTGCCGTATCTAAATGGTGACATTTCAGGGTGGCGCCACTAATGAAAGCTCACTGGAACAACTATTCTTGTAGAATTAACATTCGATCGACCATGTTGTTTATGTGTCATAGCTGATCACTAGAACCTGTTTTTTGTGCGAAATAGCGTTTGATGTGTACGATATTTGTTTGCACACCCGTCAATGGTTTTGTTGCTTCTAACCTGGTTCTTCATGATTTGGAGTAAAGTAGATTTGCATTGCAGATACCGTCGGTAAAACAGACGAAACCTGTTTTCGTTTGGGTAGTGGCATTCTCCCCTAGATTGGCGTTGATGAGGCAGAAGGCGCTAAACCTTCCGGAGCACCTGATGTTTTTCTCCTTGTACTTTTTCATTAGTATCATTGCAATAGTTTCCTTTATAGTTTACCTCGTTTCATTGAAACTGAGTTTTAAAATTAAGATGTTGCCGACATGACGTTGAATGTCTTCGAGTTACAAAATGCATATGTAGTTTGCATATCGTGTTTCTTAGTTATGTTTAAAAACCTTAAAAGGTGGCATCTTCATTACTGATAATGCTTTTTCATGCAAGCATGCTGTATCAATAAAGAACGATAACTTTGACCCTCCTCAGCACTATCATTATCACAATCACTTTACTTCTTTAAGGGGAGCTTCCTTGCCCTAGAGGACACATACCTCACATACACTAGGGCATTAACGATAGGATATTATTTAGTACCACAAAAGAAGTTGACTTTAGATGAATACATTTATATAAACAAATTACACTTGGTTCGTCTGACCTCCTGAAGAGTAACCCCACCAAACGAAGTCATGCACTGCAATAGGACATTTTATCAGCATGTATCTGATGGACTGCCAAGTACGTTAAAGGTTGATAGTGATTATCCAATCAACTGCACTCCTGCAATTGGTCTATATAATAAAAAGTACAATCTTAGCATTGTGTTCTTACGTAATAAAATGTCGGTCTTGTATAAGTTTTTTTTTACATAAGTGTACCAATATTCTATGTTTTTTTATGCATAAATATAAATACATTTACTAAATATGATTTATACTTAAACAAACTGACAAACGTTACGTCTACAATATTCCTTTGCAGGATTAAGACTCGGGTGTTGATACGATGGTCACTTTACTTATTTGACCAGGACTTACAAGACGACGATGACACAGTAGAAACTATTAACCTTGACGGAATACCTGGAACTCCTTGTATTTTTCAGGGGTGTCCTAGTGTATCGTTCTTTTGTTTATATTTTACCATAGTTTCATCGAATTTGTGTATATTTCCGGTCACATGTCGGTATATTTGTGTTTTTTGTTTTTTGTGTTTTTTGTTTTTTGTTTTATATATATTTCTACTCTCTCTTTTATTCTTTTACTTTTCATTTTTGTGTGTATTTTTGTATTATTTTATTGCTGATTTAAGTTTTGTGATGTTTGTATCAGTCGGTAATATTTCATCTTCATTGCTATTTGTCTAGTTGTTTTAAATAGCGATATGTCTGCGAGTATGCACTCTGTACTGTAAAACCATTAATTTTCGTAGGGGATTTACTTTCGCAGAATTCGTGGGTACCATAAATCAACGAATTTTAATATACACCAAATGATAAACAGGTAGAAGTTGACATAGCTTATAATACTAATTAATATAGGGATTTATCCACGATATCAAGCGTCGACTAAAATGTATATTTTTGGAAACCAGGAAAATATCTGATTTCACAGTATCTGACGGATCCGATACATAGTTTTCATGAATGTTTAAGTGACGGTAGAAGTGCACGTACTTTATAGTAGTTTACAGAAAGCAAACATGAGGAGTTTATTTTAAGACTGATAATCGTTACAGGATACCAAAACTTGGCAATAAACCAAGACACCTGCGTGAGAATTTTTTTCCGCAGAGAAACAATAACATTACTATGGAGCAATGCAAGAACACACATGCGTTTCTTTTTGAGAATTTGTCTTTCTTTTTTACTTTAAAACTGATACTAATGCGACATGTTTTTATCAGTGTATACTTGGTATATAAGCATCACTAGGAATTTGGTATTTGTAATTACAAATTGTATGCCTGAATGAATTAAACTGCATCAAGTTTTGCCATTCTATCTCTGCTCTGTGATCCCAGCGTCGTAATTGTTGAAAACTAGAAGATCCCAATGGGAAGTCAAAACTATAGATGGGAAGTTAGGGAGGCATGGTATATTATATATGATATGATAATGATAAAAAATGATATATGTTAGATAATATATAGAGTATGATATAACATGACATATATGATGTGATGTAATACGATACCTAAGTTATATGACAAGATATATGGTATTGTGTGGTACGCTGTATG